CTACCGTGGAAACCTCCAGGACTTTGCGGAATGTTCCCCAGAAGCAATTGAATGGCTATGTAAATTGGACATTAATATTTAGTGTCATTCATTCTATTTGTACTATTTTTAGTGTTTGAATAATATAAATAATATATATGTGTATATTATTGTAAATGTATTTGCATATTTATCGTACTGTTAAAGTCCATACGCTAAACTAAATAAAAACCTTGAAGATGAATTTGATTACGAAATTGGGCTAACCAGTTTTTATAGTTTTAATAGTATTCCAAATATCGATGAAAACAATAACCTTTTCCTCTGGAATATACGAAATGTTACTTATACCTATAAATTACCAAAGGGGTCTTATGAATTAGATGATATTACAACACTTATAAAAGAAAACATGAAAAAGAGAGATAGTGACGCGACTATAGAAATTACTCCACAGTTATCATCCTCCAAAGTCATAATTAATAGTAATAGAGAAATTTCATTTCTTCCCGCGAATTCTATTGGGAAATTATTTGGATTTAAATCAGGGCTACTAGCAGCAAACAAAATACATATCTCAGACAATCCAGTGGAGATTTGGGGTGCAAACGCATTATGTATTGACTGTAACATAGCATCAGGATCCTATTTAAACGGAAATCCAGTTCACATTATCCATCAGTTTTTTCCAACCGTACCAACTGGGTATAAAATAGTTGAGGTACCCCAAAATATTTTGTATTATCCAGTGAGTATTAAAACAATCTCTAACCTTACAGTAAAAATTATCAACCAAGCAAGTAAACTTGTTGATTTTGGAGGGAGAGAAGTAACTGTAAACCTTCATCTTAGGAAACAAACATAATGGTTCTAGTTTTTTCTCGCGGACCAAAAACATATATAAAGAGATTACCTTCTAAAAAAATAACTCCATCTCTACCAAAATCATATAAAAGGATATTACTTCTAAACAAATAACTCCATCTAATCGTCGCTTTCTGCAATCGTTAGGATTTAAAGTCTTGGTATAATGGAAATTCTTCATGTTACTGGTCAACCTTTTAATGATAACACTATTGAAGATTATCAGTTCCACACTTATCAACCATACATTCCTGGAAAATTAGGATACAATGATGAAATTCGTATTTCTATACAAGATTTAGATAGTTTAACGTTTCCAGCAAATAGTTATCTCTATATTGAGGGCAAATTAGCCACACATGACAATAAAATACCAACCAAAATAAAATTTATTAACAATAGTATAGCTTACTTGTTTCGTGAACTACGTTTTGAATTAAATGGGGTAATAATTGACTCAGTACGTGATGTAGGGTTAGTATCAAGTATTAAAAACTATCTTAGCCTTAACGAAAATCAAAGCTTGCTATTGGAAAATGCTGGTTGGTTTCCAAAGATGAGTAGAATGGAAAATAATAGTGAAGTCCCTAAAAACAATGTTTTGGTGGATTCAAATGGAAACTTTAATGTGTGTATACCTTTGAGATTATTATCCGGATTCTTTGAAGATTTTAGAAAAATTATTATGAACATGAAACAAGAATTGATACTGATTCGATCAAATGATGATATTGATGCAGTAGTAAGCGAAGATGAGACTGAGCGTCCGAAAATTGACATTACTAAATTATATTGGGAGGTACCACATGTAACTCCTAGTATTCGAGAACAGTTGCGACTAAACAAAATTTCACATACAAACCAAGAACTACCTATTAAATTTCGAAGTTGGCAAATGATTGAATATCCTGCTCTAAATAACTCTACACGTCACACATGGTCAGTGCGGACTAGTACCAAAATAGAAACTCCACGACACATTGTTGTTGCTTTTCAAAATAACAGAAAATCAAAATTAACAAAAGATATGAGTAAATTTGATCATTGCACTTTAAAGAATATTAAAGTGTTTTTAAATTCTGAGAGGTATCCCTATAATGATCTTCAACTAGATTTTAAGACTAATAGGTTTGCCAAACTATATGAAATGTTTGCCAATTTCCAGGAAAGTTATTATCACATGACCTTAAACCAACCCATATTTAATCCAATTGACTTTAAAACAATTGCTCCACTTATACACATTGACTGCTCTCGTCAAAAAGAAGTAATTCAATCCGGATCTGTTGTGCTTCGTATAGAATTTGAGACCGATGAACCAACAACGTCTGATATCTCAGCCTATTGTCTAATACTTCACGAGAAAGAATTCACATATAACCCTTTAACAAAAATTGTGAAACAATTGTAAATTATTTAAATTATACAAGACAGGTGAATGCAAATTAGGGAGCAACTGAAAATTAGGGAGCACATTTTAAATAGGGAGCAGCTGTATGCAAAGAGCATGTGTTTTACAGGTGTTGTAAAATTGTATCTAATGAAAGACTTTCCGTATGAGGACAGATGTATAATATATAAGGGTCAGGTGCTAATTATGGCATTATATGCGAAACTCTCTCATGCGCATGACTGAAAATTCTTTTAAAAATACAAATTATGCACTACACAAACTCAGTCTTTAAACATGAGCTTAGTAGTAGATGTCCAAGGTTTTATAATCGAAAAAAATAAGTTTATCGTGAAAGAGTTTGCAAGTTATGATGGTCAAAAAATTAGTCATTTCTTTTTTAAACCACCATATCCGATACGATTATTGGGTTCTGAATATTATAATCAAGCTGTTTGGTTGATGAATAACTATCATGGATTGAACTGGAATCATGGATTTACTCCAGTACACCAGTTCCATAATATTATCCAACATTTGACAAGAGACGTTAATGCGGTTTATGTTAAGGGGCGAGAAAAGTCACTGTACATCAAAAAGTATAGTCTATCCCCAGTTTTGGAGTTTGATGAACAACCAGCTCTGCAGAAAATGGAGCCAAGATGTCCATATCATTCAAACAGTGGGAGTGTTTGTGCTTTAAGTAATGTATTTCAACTTTATGATACTTTTATAATGAAATAAATTTTTTTATATATATTTTGTTTTATTAATAAAAACCTTATTAAAAAAATAGTACTTTATTCAATAACGATTACATGTTACAATTTATATTTTTAAGTGCAAGTTTACACAAATGACAACTGGATTGAGCTGGGGCGGATCCTTCTAACTCTGTTCTCCACTCCGGACGATTAAAATGAACGAAACATGGGAGACGAGTTTGAACTTCAAAATCCTGGCAAAATTTCGTGGGTAGTATAGACCATGAAAGGAGAAGTTCAATTGGGTCTACAAATTTTCTTACGTAGGCTAGGCTAAAATATTCCAATTCTGTGGTCGTGAACTTGTACAACGGTTTTTTTGGATGCTCTGCCATTATGCGAGACCGGAGGCAACAATCCATCTTTAGTAAATCGGTTAATGTTCTTAAACACCAAGTCTATCCACTTTTGTTCTTCAGATCTGGACAGAAAGAATAATCTGTTATCTGCTTCTGATTTTGGTGTGTAAACTTTTCCACTACGCAAGCGCATCACTCAAACACAGCTTTGAAAACTGTTTAAACATAAGTTGTTTATGTTCGTATTCACTTTTCAACTGGTTAATACGATTATTTATATGATTGATATATCTCTGACTTTTGTAAAATAGAATATCACGTTTTATCCTTTTAATGCGTATACTAAACTGATTAAGCCGTTCACGAAACCTTCTTGAGTACATACTGTTTAAATTAATGACGGTACTTCCTTATATCCTTCCTACCCCCATTGATACCGGTTGCAGATGTGTTGTTCATTGCCCCCCTCCCCCACTACTAATAATATATTGACAATGGCAGGTAAGGTCTGTTAGCTCCCAGTCGTTGAGTCATTCCTGTTGAAACTTGTTAAATCCAGTTTGTTGAGAGTTTAATTATGTGTTCAAATATAAGAAACGAGAAGAACATACCATATGATGACGAGTGGAAAACATTTTCAAGACCTCCTTTTTATATTGTACAACAAAAGATTTGTCTCGTTTGTCGTAAAATGTCTGGGACTAGACTTATTCCAAGAAACTTAATATTTAAAGGATGGAAATTGGTATTTGAATTTTGTGCATTTTGTAGTGACACTAGACCTATGGGACTATCTCATCGTTTTGTAGGTTATCGTGATGGATTATTGGAATCCCCACCACATAAATGGGACTCCCCTCGTCCAGAGTTAGATTTACTATAAATAGATGTTAAATTCTAAATAGCTATTATTATGATGGTATCATTAAACTTTATTGTTTTACAAGCAATTTTGGGAAATTTGCTCTTAATTCAAGAACCAATCAATGTCAGAGAAACTTTTGTGTGTTTTGATAGTAATGGTGCACTAAATGATACGTGGCCGTCAAAATGGAGAAGAATGAAATCATATCCGGAAAACAATTTTTTACCAACTTTACAAGCTGAAATACCTTTAAACAGCACCAAATATAAATTGCGTTTTAGACATTTTAGTGAAAAAATTACTGATTCCGGGTGGTTGGAACTTTATAATGGAATACCTAAGAAGGATACAGTCATACCTCCAATATTTTATTATATAGCTATATGTTCAACTTTCTCAATAGTTTCTTTATTAATAGAATTGTTTAAAGTTTTAAATAAAAAAATATGTCAATATACAAGTGTTTTATTGATACATAAAAATATACATATACAATCCTTAAATATAATCACAGATAAAACTATTTATAAGTATGAGTCATAATGGAAAGGTGCAACTTGCAACAATTCCTTATTGGGGATATTATCTAAATCAACTAATGTAGGAGCATCTATCATCTCATTCGCGAAAAATAAAAGGTCATCTATATTACCTTTATGCCGATTAATTAATAAATGGCCCCAAGCCAAAGTAGAGACATCACCAGGAATAACATATCTTTTATCGTCACGGGATGTTAGTGATACCTTATTTCGCAGTTCGGTATAAACAGTATGCATTTCCGACCTAAAAAAATACATTTTTCTAAAGATGGTTTCTTTGTTTTGAATAACTCTTACGTAATCATTTAAATGTAGTTGGTTTTTAACAACATGTCTGGAAACACCTTTCGCTTTTTTCACAATTGTATCAGCCTCAATACAATAAGCTTTAGCTCCAGTACCGTAGAATGCTTTAATGGTGGTGTTTGGAAATTCATTTTTCATCTTTCCAAGAATAGACTTTGTCTTGTCTACCCCATGTTGATTATTTTCCGAATAATTAGATGTATCAAAGTAACGTAGATTTTTGTTCATATCATCATAAAAGTTTGGTGTTTGTACTTCTAGAACGAGTGAATCTGTATCAGTATACAAAAGATTAACATTATTGCGGTACTTGTTTTTAATATATCCGTAGAAAAAATCATATATGAATGTCTTAGATACATCTAGAATAGAAAAACCAACGAAAATAGGTTTATCATAAATAATTTTGGTTTTATTTAAATGAATTGCAACTAAATTTTCGTTAAATACTGATAATGAGTTGAATTCTGGTTTGGCAATTAAAGATTTTGCTCCAACCCTTCCCTTGCTATTTTCATAATGAGATAACAAAAAAATTTCCTTTCTTTTTTCAATACACTCTAAGGATTTCCCAAACACAGCGTTGACGAGAAGCTTAAAAAGGTCACGGTGGAATTCATTTTTGGCGTTGTTTCGAAGAAAAGTATTTAGATCAATATATTTTTTTAACCAAAGGGATTGGGAGAATTCTAGGATTCTGTGCACCTTTTCTAACTTTAATCCGTACTGTATACATTGTTTTAAATTTCTATAATGTATAACATATTTTTTTTTATCGTATAAATTAGGAATCAGTTTTTTGTATTTACTTTTAGGTGGTACTATTGATTCGGGGCAAAATGGAAGATCGTTATGTTGTTCGTGAATATTGGGTGGGTAATGCAAATCTACTTCCAACACATAGCCCTTTTCACCATCATCATCAATAGTAAAAATATTAAATTGGTCAATTTCCTGATCATTTAACCATCTAAAATTTCCCCAAGGAAGAGGTTGACTCATGGCTGCGCCGTAAAGATTGGTGGCATCTAGATACATTATGTATGTTTCCGGTTTTGTTGGATCAAAATTATTTAAAAATCTATTGTTTGCAATACCCATTCGTTTCGTACAGGTAGCCACACCTCCTCTGATCCCTTTTTTGAAAAAATGTACCATATCAACATCCGTTAAAAGTTGAAGCTCAATATCGGTATATTTTAACATGGCATCCCATGTTAGAGATGGGGCTGTAACATAATGTGCAGGATCCAGTTTATATTCTTTGAGACATACCTTTCTAAAATTTTCAAATATGTCAGCTAGTAGAAGTACATCTGATTTTAAATATAACATTCCATAATCCCCCATAGATTGGCAGTTAAAATGATCCCAGACCTCCTGTGCTCTGTTATAATCTTCTGTAGTAATATGTTCTCCCCTTAAATTATCATAAAATTTTTCTTTAGGTGGTAGATGTTTTTCTTCTAATTTGATATAACTATCAATATATGTATATGGAAATACACCTTTACGGCGCATTAAACCAAACTCTTTTTCACCTGGGAAATATTTCCTTATTTCATTGCATTGACTAGACTCTAATGTTTGGCTTAATTTATCTAAAGACTTTGCTAAAAATCTAAATGAATCAACAAACCTCAATTTTAAATAAACATTATGTTTTTTTGAATCATCACTCTTGTGTACTAGAACAGATTTTGAAAATGTAATATACTTTTCTTTAGTTTGCGCAATAGCGGATAAATACTCTTTATTAGTTGTTAATTCCTTAATAAACATGTGGCAATCATAATTTGTCAAATTATGAAAAAAAATTGGAATAAAATTAGGTACCTTAAAATTTAAGTTGCAGGAGTTGTGTGCTGCACCTCGGTATAATCCTGTAAGATGGCAATGATCTTGAACTCTTTTGTCGAACGAGGAAAATGATTTCTGGCAAATAGAGCATTTGATGGCATTCTGAAAATTCTGGTTTTCTTCACTAGTCAAAGACACCATTGGTTTAATATGCTTTAGATGGTTCTGGTATAAATTAATAGCTAAAGCATCTAACTTTTGAACAAACACTTTAGCAGCGTCCTCACCCTGATATGTTTCCAATCTTGATAAGGAATCATCATAATTACACTTGAGATAAAATGCAAATGCATAAGGGATGTGTTCGGCGACTTTGATTGTGTAGGATTGTCCATCTGATGGATTACAATGGTGTATTGGCTTAAGAATCGACTCAAAGTCAGCATAAATTACAAACGGGTGTTGGCTTGTCTTTTCAATATTGATAAATTTTAGAATATTGGATGGGAGAGTTTCACCACACTTGTTAACTCTTAATTCACTAGTTGGGAGTATTGTAGAGATGTGTAAACAATCATTTTCTTGGTGATTTTTCAGCTTTTCAAGGGTTGGAAAAGTTTGAAGACACCCATCACAGAAATATTGTTTTCCATCATATTTTGTCTTTTGAGTTTTTACTAAGCGATACAAGTCTGTTATGAGACAATAATGGCTTTGATTACTATCGCTTATTAATAACAGATTAACATGTGTAGGTTTATGGTGTTGAGTATAGTACAGTGGTCCTACAATTTCATATTGCATCTTGTTTTCTTTAAAATATGATTGAAGACCATACACGTTAACTGATATATTGTTTAAAATCTCGAACTTGTTAATGTCCTTTAACTTAACCGGAAACCCGATACCATTAAAATTTAGAAGTGTGTCACAAGGAGGGTATGACTCTGGTTTCGTGGGGTCACCATTACTAGGAAATATTCCGGCTATAACACAATAAGCAAAACACTTGCTATCTTTGTTTTGAATATTTAAGATTGCACCTTTCCTTTTAATCTGTGATGGAAGATTAATATATGATGACGCAGAAATGGTACTGAATTTGTTAATGTTGACATCTAAAAATAGAATTTCCTGAAGTGCCCAGTTGGAATCTTTCTCCTGGAACTCGGATGCTTGTGTTAATATCGCTTCAGAAAAGTCATTATACATGTCGGATATGTCACTACTCAAAGTGAAGATTTTATTAGATGTATTCATTGACTTAATATCTGAAATCTCATTCTCGGGTTTGTAAAACATCGCAAATAGTTCACAGTTAACTTTAAGAGCCGTGTGTTGATGAAGATATTCATTGAGAATTCGAGTTACTTTTGGTTTAATCTCATTCATAAAACCGGAATAGTTGATTTTGCTTGATTCACTCATAAACCGGTATGATGCTATTCTATTTTTAAATGCATGTGTCAGTTTAGTAACACCACTTTCGAGCACTTCAATACCTATTGGTCTTAGTCTCTTTCTAGGAATCGGGCAAGCGGCATCACACGAACTAACTTGATGTCTTTGTAAATCTCCATTTCGTGTAAAAGTCTTTCCGCACTTCTCACACAAATGTGCACTTAAGTGACTGTTTTGGCATACAGTTACATGACGCCGTAAATTGTATAAGCGAATAAACGTTTTACCGCACGCACATTGATTCATTTTTAAGGTTAAAAACAAAACTGATCATACCCAATAAACGTTCACCTCTTAAATACCCCTACCTACCGTTACACTCACGTGTTAATTAGTAAGAAGTTAATGTGTGACAGCTGTGACATTTAATGAACCAGCTCACAGTTGTGCGAAACAGGTGTGTGCCAGCTGTAACATTTAATGAGCCAGCTCGCAGTTGTGCGACACAAATGTGGAAAGCTGAAATATTTAATGAGGCAGCGTGCAATTTTATGCAATCGACTAACACCTGAGCCCATTATTTCACCTGCAGACGATCTTGGATTTCCAAAAAAGGTGGTATATAATGTATTTAAATACTATATTGCAAGCACTCATGAATTTTAGATGTGTAACACCTACATTAGTTAACGGATTAATTTCACCGCCATCACTACAAGAGTTAACAGCTAACCATATATTCTGGATAGTAAAGGATAGTGATTTTACTAAGATAGGAGTTCAAACTAGTGAAGGAAAAAAAGTTTTTGTGATTCCGGACGATATTTTAAACGTTATTAACATAAATTGTGTAAGTGAGCTTAAAAAACAAATTATAAAAAACAATGGCGGATTTTATTGACCAAGATATAGAAAATGATGTGGATACGAAAGTAAAACGTATTGAAGATATTAAGCCTATTCAGTTTCTGAACGAATATACTTCTGGAATGGTTTGTCTAACACAATTTATTTATTATGTGAATAACGAACGATTATGTTGCAATTGCTGTGCTGCCATGATTTTGGATGATAGTAATATTGAAACACCTCGTCTAATAACTGAACATGTTTCAGGCAAAATATTCGATTTGGAGACATTAGCATTTAGATGTCAAATGTGTAAGCGCCCTCTTTGGACTTTTTCAGTAATTCGACATTGTAACTTTTGTACAAAAAAGTAAATAAATTTTTTAATAATTTAGCTTTACTTAGTTATAAAATATACAATAATACCAATAGGTGTATAAGTAATAATTGGTACGATTTTATATTAAAAACGGGAAAATAATATACTATATATATATATATATATATATATATATATATATATATATATATATATATATATATATATATATATATGCGAGACAGAGACAGGAATCTAAAAGTATTTTATTACTACCTGTTAGTTAGACAACTACAAAGGCATTCCAGTGTCAAACTCAGCCTGTAGAATATACGGAAAAGTGAGGTAGAATATAAAATGAATACAAAGATATATAAGTCGAAGAACAAGCGGGATTTAGTGCAGGAAGATCAACTATTGACCATCTATTCTGCCTTACACAGACTATTAATACCTATTCTCTGCCTACACATAGAGGAAAAAAGCTGGAGTTAACTAGGAAATATATTTGTTATATCTGGACTTGAGAAAGGCGTATCTCACAAAACAAGTATGGGAAGCATTGGAGAAAGCAAATATAAACAGGAGTTTAATACGAGCAACGAAACAAGTGTATCCTAACTCTAAGGCAAGGGAGAAGATTGGAAACAGCCTATCTAAGGGATTCCAAACCAGCAAGGGTTTTAAACAGGGCTGTTGTATCTCACCGACATTATTTAAAATTTACTTCGAACAAAACGAAAAGTTTATAACCAGTGTGTTTTGCCCGTACAGACTTGGGAGCAGAGACTTTAAAACTGATGCAAAAATCCTGCAACAAACTCCTCACAACAAACCATGGAACGTGCAATATTGGACGTGAGCCTTCGAGACCACATAACAAACCTCCAAATCAGGAGTTCAAGATGTTATCGAAAGAATCATGACTCTTAAGTGGAACTGGGTACTTAGCTAGAGCACAAGATGGAAGAAGGCGAGGACGACCACCGACTAGATGGACGGAGGACGTAAAAAGAGTATACGGAAAACTGGTTGTCTCTACTGAAGGAACTTAGGGAGGCCTATGTCTAGCAGTGGACGCGATTGGTTGATTGATGATGGGTATATGAACATTATTGTTTGCAGATGAGCAACTAGTAATAGCACAAGAGTATGAAGATATTGAATATATGAGAAGGAAATTAATACAGGAATATAAAAAATGGGTGCTTGAAATAAACATAAGAAAGATATATGTGTTAATGGGATACAGCAGGACATCACATTGGAAGATTGAGAAATAATCAGATATTGCGAAACATATAAGTATCTGGGTATGATCATCACAAAAGAAGGCATGTAAAAAATGCAACAAATAAGGAAGAAAAGCGATATCTTTTTTAAATAGTATACTTTTGGGACTATTCAATAACAAGTTATAAGAAACGTAGAATATATTACACACTTATTAAAAGTATAATCACCCACAGCAGTGAAGAATGGCAGATAAAGAAACGATACAAGAGAAAACTTGTGGCAATAAAAATGGATTTTTGGAGACGTTCGGCAGGGAAATTGAGATTGGATAGAGTTACTAACAATAGAATAAAAGAAATCATGAAAGTAAATCACATAATAGTAGAAGAGATTGGTACCCAACAACTAATATGGTATGGACATGACCAAAGAATGCCCAAAGATCGACTTCCGAAACAAATCCTAACTTGTCAACCTCATAATAGAAGGTAAAGGAACGTCGCATTGGTTGTAGAGAAGACATAAACCGAGAAATGAGAGATAATGTTTTGAGATGTGTAATGAGGGGAAAGCGTTTTAAACCGAGAATATATACAAATAAAGTAAAAAACTGTTTTAAATATAAAATTTATTAATATTAAGCTATATTTGGTTATAAAATATACAATAATACCTAATTTAATTTACTTATTATATACAGCTTATGGCATTTTTTTATATTCAGATTTTATACTGTTTTCTTCAGAAATTATATTTACCATTATTCTGTTTGTGAAAGTCTTACAAAGCTCAACGAGCTTTTACACTTCTTACCAACAGGTGGCGTACACCACTATTTTTTCTTTAAAAAGAAAAGAGTTTAAGTGCAATTGTTGTTTAAAAGTTTTCCCAAAGTTGAAATCCAACTTTGGGAAGAACTGTTAAACAAATTCTTGTTTAAAATCATTGAAATTTTTTATTTGGCAACGAATATAAACGGTACAAAGTGTATATAGTTTATGGGAACTACACACAAGAAAAATTAATTCTAAATTAATAGCTCTATCTTTAAAAATATTAACCAATGTAGAGCACAATTATTATTATTAGAATAAAATCGGTTAATCTTTTAAAGATTTTATATGATTTTTGACTTTATTTAGATTTTGTTTTAATTTTTCGTTTTCTAACTGTATTTTATTCAATTTTCTATTTATTGCTATTAATTTTAAATTATTTTTTTTACCTTTAATTAAAATTTTTTTTGTGTGTGTTTTGCTATCGATTCCTTTTCGTTTATTTCTATAACTTTTTTAATTATTGGTTCCATTATTAAATTGTATTGATCTTCGTTAAAAGAATCACTACTTGCTTCATTCTCACCCTTATCAAGTTTATTCCTATTTTGTCCCTGTTCTGCCTCACTGCACTCGTCACTTTCACTGTCCAATTTATCCATTTCTGTAGCACTGTAATCCATTTCTGCACCACTGTAATCCAAAATATTGTCTTTTTCTTCAACACTGTAATCCATTTCTGTAGCACTGTAATCCATTTCTGTAGCACTGTAATCCAAAAGATTGATTTTTTCTTTAATACTATCCACATCGTCGATAACACTAGTACGCTCAATCACCACATCTGATCTTCTATTTCACTTTCCGAAATGTTTTCATATTTAACTTGGGCATTACTTTGCCCATTAAAAAAGAAAAGAGTTCAACTTTAAGTACAATTTTTGTTAAAAAGTACTTTCCAAAGTTGAAATTCAAATATTATTAAAATTTTTATCTGGGAACCAATATAAGCGGTACAAAGTAAATATAGATATATTGATATAGTTTATAAAAATAAATAAAAAGGAACTAAACGCAAGAAAAATTGATTCCAAATTAATAGCACTATCTTTAAAAATATTAACCAATTTTATTCTAATCGATAATTGTGCACTACATCGGTTAATCTTTTTAAAGATTTTATATGATTTTTTACTTTATTTAAGTTTTGTTTTAATTTTTCGTTTTCTAACTTTATTTTACTCAATTTTCTATTTATTGCTATTAATTTTAGATTATTTTTTTTTACCTTTAATTCCAATTTTTTTTTTTTTGTGTTTTGCTATTGATTCCTTTTCGTTTATTTCTATAACTTTTTTAATTAATGGTTCCATTATTAAATTATATTGATCTTCGTTAAAAGAATCACTACTTGCTTCATTCTCACCCTTATCAAGTTTATTCCTATTTTGTCCCTGTTCTGAATCACTGCACTCGTCACCTTCACTGTCCGATTTATTCATTTCTGTAGCACTGTAATCCATTTCTGCACCACTGTAATCCAAAATATTGTCTTTTTCTTCAACACTATCTACATCCTCGATAACACTAGTACGCTCATTTACCGCATCACTTATCTGATCTTCTTCAGTTTCCGAAATGTTTTCGTATTTAACTTGGGCATTACTTTGCCCAAAAAACTCAGACCCTACAATGGGCTTGACCGTTGATGGGTCACCAACAAAAACTATAGAGCCGGATGAATTTGATTCATCATTGCACATTTTAATATTTTTTCGGCCGATTTGCGACATAATGTTTAATTCGGAAGAAAACTGTATTCGATCTGAATATAAGGAATGCCTTACTCATACTGTATAAGTTATTTATACTGTATTCTTCCACCACAAAACCCCCAAAAATTCAAAAAGTTAGAAAGTATATTCTTGATAGCAAAGCCTTATGCGACTTTCGATTATTTATTGATTGGTTTAAGCCATGTGTGCTAAATATTTTTTGCAGAGAAAGTAGTTCTGCCTCCAATTCACTTGTAAAATAATTGTGGTCTTTAAAAAGCTGCAAGCGCATTATGTTATTAAAAGTGAAAATGCATAAATAAGGCCAATTATTATAGGTCCGGCAGATGGAAATACATTGTATGTAATATATGTTATTGATAAAAACGCATTATGTGACTTTCGATTATTTATTAATTGGTTTAAACCACGGGTGCTGAATATTTTTCCAGAGAAAGTATGCCTACAATTCACCTGTAAAATAATTATGGTCTTTAAAAACATGCAGGGGCATTATATTCTTAAAAGTGAAAATGCAAAATAAAGGTCAATTAAGGTCCGGCAGATGGAAATACATTGTATGTAATGAAACTACTTTCAATTAAGCTTATTAACTTTCTACAGGTGATAATTGACCAATATTTATTATCTTCGTTTGAACTGCATATGTTGTTTTGAGGTAAAATAAAAATATACACTGAAAAAACTGTTTGTTATATTTATTTCGTATAATAAATAAGTTAGTTTACATCATGTTACTAACAAAAAAATCATTACATTTTAAAATTATAAACAATACTTGTCACTTTGTTCAAACTCTCAATTTTAAAATTTAAAATTTCTAACTCTGTTTGAATTTTACGTCGTTTAGAACATATCTCTTGTAATTCGATATTCGCTTGTGTTTCTCGTTTAACACACAAACTCAACTTATTTTCTAATTTTATTTTTAACTGCATTTTCTCAGACAATATCTCACTATTCACTTTCACCAGCTTTTTTATAATTGGTTTTAGTTTTTTTTCATAGGTTTCGTTTTTTGATTCGTAGCTAGTTATTTCATCCATGGCACTATTCATATCTACATCGTTGATTAGGTCTTCGTGGCTTCCACCTTCTTGCGATGATTCGTCTA